CCCTTGGGTAAAAACTGATAGGTATCATAAGGATGATGACAGCTAAATTGGAAAGGAGGAAGAAGCTGGCTGGGCAGGGGTGACTCCAAACTGTCTCTGAGATAGCAAGGGAGGAACAGGACCCCAGAAGGTAATGGGGAGCCGGGGTGTCAGGCAGACTTATGAAGGAAGAGATTCCAGGGAGAGGGAGTGGTGTGTGAAGGCCGCTGTGCAGCTGAGCTGAGGAGCTAGAGAGAGTCAGAGGTGGCTCAGAAAGACTAATGGACACAAGCTTTTTGTTTCTTTCTTTCTCTCTTTGTTTCTGGTGGTACTGCTGGGGATTAACCTCAGGACCTTATGCAGCCGATCTGGCTCATGTGTAGGCTTTCTGTGTCTACAGATGAGCACAGTATGTATTGTTTATTACCATATTGACCCCTCCCACAAGAGTGACTGGATCAAGAGGTATGGCCTTAGAGAAGTGATGAGGTCCCAGGTAGAGCCTCACAAATAGGGAACAGGGACCACATCCTTAGCCAAGTGTTCCCTGTGGGCGGAGCTATAGGTCAGCTGGTAGAGTGCTTGTCCAGCATGCAGGAAACCCTGAGTTCCAATCCTAGCACCAGATCGGAAGTTCGAGGTCATCTTTGGCTACATAGGGAGTTTGAGGCCAGTTTGGGTCAGAGACTGTCTCAAAAAAGAGAAGAAAAAGGTGTCCTCAGAAAGCTGGGTGTAGTAATAATCCCAACACTTTCAGGGCAGAAGCTGGAGAATCAGGGCCAGCCTCAGCTACACAGTGAGTCCCTGGCCTTCCTGAGAGTATCTCAACAACACAAGAGTCCCCAGGGAGCTCCCTTGCCCTTCCCACCACACCCGGACCCAGGGGAGGGAAGTGTCATTCCCAGACCCCAGCCTGGAGAACCTTGATCTCAGACTTGTTGTCTTTGGAATGTGAGGGACGCTAGTCATACTGAGCTGGCTTCCTGGGTTAGGAGTGATGGCAGATCCTCAGGCGAGAGGGACTTTTAAGAGCAGTGTGCTATTCGCCCACACTCTTGTAGTTTCTGGGAACCTTGACTCTGTGTTCCATGTCACTTTAGAAGAATCTGGTCTTAAGAAAGGAGAGAAGATACCAGAAGAAAACCTAAAACTGTTTTAGGACTTCTTAAACGTTGAGGCAGGCCTGGGATGCTCATAGGCAGAGATATAAGGATGCAGGGTGTGAGTGTGTGTGTGTGTGTGTGTGTGTGTGTGTGTGTGTGTGAATATATATAGCATCCTATTATATGCTCTTTCTAGCATATGCTCAAGTGTGTGTTTATCTCAAACCAAACACTGGCTTTTTTAGTTTCAAGATGTGTGACACATTTTCAATGCTTGATTTTATAAGTGGACTCTTAATATGCTGTGTCAACAGCCAATATGTGCAGCATAACTGTGCTATTTATAAGATAATTACAAGGTGTCACTGGCTTAAAAAAAATACCACAAACTGAGTCCCTTAATAGGACAGAAATGGATCCCCTACCCTGCCCTGGCATTAAACCCCAGGCCTCACAGTTGCTAGGCAACACTCCTAGTGAGCTATATCCTTCAGCTCTCCAGCTTATTACACTTCACCTGGAGACAAAATATCTCATTAAATTTCCCAGACTATTCCCAGACTTAAATCCACTCTGCAGTCCAGGTTGGACTTGAACTCAGGCTCCTCCTGCCTTGTCTTCTGAGAACCTGGGGTGACAAGCCTGCACCACCAAAACCTTGCCAGAGATGTTTCTGAAAGTCTGAAACCCAGGAGTGGGCAGGCCAAGCTGTGAGCTTTTGAGTTGCTGGCATTCGTGGCCACCCCTCGGTTTGTAGCCATCTGGCTGCAGTGACACAGTCACCTCATCCCAGTTGTATCATCCCTCTAAATGTCTGTCTCTGACTCTCCTCTCCTGGGAACGCTATTCCTGAAGTCGAGCTCTGAGTCATGACTTCATCTCATGTTAAGCTGAACTGCAAATGGTCCTTTTCTTCTCAAAGGTCCCATTCATAGGGAGAGGGGGTTACAATCCAGCATCTCTCTCTGTGAATATAACACAACCCTTATAAGACAGATTTCCCACACTCCTCATCCAAGCCTGTAAACCCAGAAGGATCACAAAGTCAAGGCCAATGTGGGCTAGAGAGAGAATTCAAGGCCAGTCTGAGCAACTGATGAGACCCTGTCTAAAAACTGAAAACTATAAAAAGAGCTGGAGGTACACCTCAGTGGTGAAGTGTTCATCCAGCATGCCCAGGGGCCTGGGGTTAAGTCCCAGCACTAGGTTAAAAACAAAACAAAACAAAACAAAACAAAACAATAGTTTACAATATGCTTGGGTAGCATGTCTCAGATACGGAGCCCAACTTTAAGGTCACTTAGTGGTTATTTCTTTCTCTTGCTCCTCACAGTGTCTTCACGCTACCTGGATACTTTTTAGCATGCTTTCCCATTGAAACAATACAGAATTAGATTGTTGTTGTTGAAACAGGGTCTCAGACTTTGTAACCTGTGCTGGCTCAAACGTGTGTCAATCCTTCTGTTTCAGCCTCCAGACCTGGAGACTACAGGTAGGAACCACCACTCAGAATAGAAATGTAACCTTCAACACGCTTTTCTTCCCAGACATAGTATCATATGCCTGTGATCCCAGCATTTAGGAGGTCAATACTGGAGGATCGGAAGTTCACGTCATCCTCAGCTACACAGGGGGTTTGAGGCCAGCCTGGGCTCCAGGAGACTTTGTCTCAAAAGAAAGAAAACAAAACAAAAGACTACCCCCACAACCTAAACATGCTAGGCCTGGCGGAGGTAGCACACATCTTTAATCCCAGCACTCAAGAGAGTTCAAGGACAGCCTGGTCCACCTATCTAGTTTCAGGACAGCCAGGAATATACAAAGAAAACCCTATCTGGAGAAAAACCAAAACCAAAACCACTACCAACAAAACAGAAAAAGAAAAAGTTCTTATTTTCTCCCTCCATCTTTCCCTCCCTCCTTCCTTCTTTTTTCTTTTTCTTTTTTTTTTTAAGATTTTTTAAAAAATTTATTTTATGTATATAAGCACATTTGAAACACCAGAAGAGGGCATCAGATCTAATTGCAGATGGTTGTGAGTCACCATGTGGTTGGTAGGAATTGAACTCATGATCTTTGGATGAGCAGCCAGTGCTCTTAACCGTTGAGCCACCTCTCCAGCCCCCCTTCTTTTTTTCTTCTCAGATCTGCCTTGCTGCCTGAAGCATTAGTAGTAGACAGATTCCAACTGGGTTCATATTTGGGGAACACCAACTTAAGGATAGATTCCCACAAATTTGTGGCTCATTACTGGTAAGTGCGCCCCATCCTGCAGAGACTTAGCTCACATGCTAAGAATAAAAGCCACTGGCTGGTGAGATAGCTCAGCAGTTAGAAGTATTTCCCACCAAGCCTGGCCTGAGTTCTATCTCAGGAACATACATGGTAGAAGAAAGAATGAAAGAGAAAGAAAGGAAGGAAGAGAGGGAGGGAGGGGGCTGGAGAGATGGCTTAGCGGTTAAGAGCATTGACTGCTCTTTCAGAGGTCCTGAGTTCATTTCCCAGCCACCACATGGTAGCTCACAACCATCTGTAGTGGGATCTGATGCCCTTTTCTGGTGTGTCTGAAGCCAGCTACAGTGTACTCATCATATATACAAAATAAATAAAATCTTTAGGAGGGAAAAAGGAAGGAAGGAAGGAAGGAAGGAAGGAAAGAAGGAAGGAAGGAAGGAAGGAGCAAACCAGATAGGGTAACTTTCACTCACAGTTAAAGGCTACAGTCTGTTATGGTAGGGACGTTATGCCAGCAGGTTGAGAAAGCTGGTCACGTTGCACCCACAGTCAGGAAGCAGACAGAGATGGATGCTGGTGCTCAGATCACTGTCTCCTTTTTTTTGATTCAGGACCCCAGAACATGAGATGGTGCTGCCCACAGTTAAGATGGGTTTTCCCTTGTCAATTTCCCTAATCTAGATAATTTCACAAAGGAGCCCAGAGGCTTGTTTCCTTGGTAATTCTATAACCTGTTAGGTTGACAATCAAGTTTTTACCATCACTGGGGTATGGGGTATCATTGGTCCTCCAGGAGGGACACAGGAAACTCTCTCTGGTCTTCTCCACACTCTACCCTATGCACACCTCTTTGCTGGTGTTAGGTGTTAATCTGTCTCCTTTCCTGTGTTGTGATTTGACTGGAAAATGTCTTCCGCAGACTCCTGTGTTGGAATACTTGTTTCTCAGCTGGTGGCACGCTTTTGGGAGGTTGTGGAACTTTTTAGGAAGGGTGATCTCACTGTGGAAAGTAATGATCTACCCATGAGGGCTATAGTCTGGACCACACCTGTCATGTCTGCCTTCTGTCCCTCCAAAATGTGAAGGGTTAAGGTTAATGTCCCCTCTTTTCCTCCTTCCCCAACATCGGCGGCCATCCGCAGCCATAATTTTCCTGACATAATGGACTTTAGCCCCTGAGACCATGAGCCAAGATAAATCTTTCCTCCCTTACTTAGCTTTTGATGGGTACGCTGTCACAGTGACCAGAAAAGCAACCGCTTCGCCTGATTCTCCCACCAGAACTGCATCCAGGGTGGGACCTGCAGGTTTTCTTTGCGGACCCAGGTGTGGGTGATCGGTGAGCCTACCTTATTCCTTTGCTGTCAGTGTGTGCTGTAATAGTGAATTTAGAATTTTGCTTTTTCGCTGTTGGGCCTTAAATCTAGGGCATGGTAGGCAAAGGCTAACCACTGACCTATAGCCCCGGCTCTTGAATGTTTTAAGTAAACAAAACGAGCGAAAGTGCAGAAACCAGCAAGGGCGGAGAGTGTGTTAAAACAGTCAAGCCACTCAGCTAGAGGACTTTAGGCTAGGCCCCGCCCCCAGATGGAACCACACCCACTTCCCCACCCCCTCGCGACGACCCGCCCAGGTGCCCTGGGTCCCGCGGGAGGGGGTGGGGCAGGCGCAAGCGCAGAGAGCGCGGGCGCGGTTGCCGTGGCAGCGCCTGCCCGAGGGAGGGCGGCGGCGCGGGGCCAGGACCCCGGCGGGCAGAGGCGGCGACGCGGCCACCCGAGAGTGTGCGGCGGGGCAGCTGAGCGGCAGGGGCCCCGCCCTGCTGGCCGGTGGGGATGCGGGACCGGCTGCCCGACCTCACGGCGGTGAGCAGAAAGCCGCATAGCGGTCCGGGCGGCGGGCGAGCTGCTGTGGGTCGGGGCAAAGACCCCAGGAAGAACCTGGGGAGTAGGGGTGGAAAGACTCAAGGAGGGGAGTCCAGAAGCAAGACCCTAGGAGGAGCCTGAGTAGGGACCCGGAGGGGAGTCCAGGAGGGGGCTCTGGGGAGGGAGCCCCGAGGAGGAACACCCGTGGAGGGAACTGGGCAGCGTCTCTAGGAGGGAATCTAATAAGAGGGTTCTAGCTGTCCCGGGGCCTCCAGAGGCTTCGGTGTCTCCAGGGGTGGCAGGGCGTAGTCTTCAGGAAAGATCCAGGCAGCCTCCTAGCAGGGTCCCAGGGAGTGAACTCTCGGTTCTTCAAGAGTCACAAGATGCACAAGAGGAACTCAGTCGGTGTTTCCGAGCAGAGTCTCAGGGGAAGAAGGGCTTTAGTCCTGGGATCTTCAGGGGTGTTAGGGTGGGGTTTCAAGAGCATTCCTGGGAGGTCTCCAGGAGACCCAGGTCTGGGCAGCAAGTGGATTCTTGGGATAAGGCTCCTGGTCTTCCTTGGGTTCCAAGGGTCACAGGTTGTTGGGACTCCCTCCGGGTGTGGGCTGTAGGAGAGGTTCAGGGCTGGTACTTCGAGCATCTTAGTCTTGAGAAGCACTTCTGGGCACAGATGCTGGTAGGTGTCTGGTGTGGGTTCTCTCTGCCTGCCCTGGCACTACTCCTGTGGACTGATGTTTGGGTCGGAGTCCTTTTGGCCACCTGACAGGGTTGGAAAATGTGGCTCAGGGTTTTAGGCAATGAGCGAGGGCTGGGCTTGGGCTGATGATGGATGCCTACTCAGAACTTACCATGGCACTGCCTGCCTGGGTCTTTTTTTTTTTTTTTTGCAAGGCTCTTATCACAACCTCTCCAACTGCCTGCCCCACCCTGTATGGTACCCTGTCCTACCGCTTTGTTTCATGGCCTGATACAGAATGCTGTGCTGAGTCCCTCACAGACACCTCACACAAACCTGGAGCTCAGGGGCTAGGTGCCTGCTTTGATCAACACTACCCACAGCCACCTTAGGTATCCTCCCAGTGCACCAGGGACCAGAACTGTATTTATGCTTTAACACAGGGCTCTGGTCACTAGCGAGCACTGAGGCAAGAGAAAAGCTGAGCTTTCCAAAGGGCAGTGGGTTTACAGTATATATCTGCATTTGCAGTGGGCAGTTACTGTACCCAGGTTTGAGGTAGAATGTGACATCGAGGACATATATGCAGTGCAGGCCCTGTCAAGGCGATTGGCCGTACCCTTTCAGGTGTTTATCATTCCTCTGGGGTGAGGACCTCAAGACCAGCCAGGCTGTGGTGGCACACACCTTTAACCCTAGCGCTTGGGAAGCAGAGGCAAATGGGTCTCTGTGAGTTCAGCGTTAGCCTAGTTTACGGAGTGAGTTCTTGGACAACTAGGACTACAGAGACAAACCCTGTCTTGAGAAACACACACACACACACACACACACACACACACACACACACAGGACCTCAAGACCCTCCTCACTGACTACTTGCAGGCATCAACCATAGTCATGTACTGCGATGCAGAACATTGGAAGGCATCCTTTCCATCCAGCCGGACCCCAGAGCCTCCTCTGCGCTGCTCCCTTACCCCCTTCCCAGACCCTGTAACTGGTTTGTGTTCTGCTCCCTTGAGCTCAGCTTTTAAATGTCTACACACGGAGCATCTGTGTTTCTGTGCTGACGCGGTTTATGACCTTCACAGGCCTGAGGGTTTGTGTGTAGGGGGTGGTCCTTGGCTGGATTGAGGTAGAGACCTGGGAAGGACAGCAGTAGCTTCCAGCGCTGGATGTTGGAGTCTCAGCAGGTGGCGCCCTGTAGTGTCACAGCTCAGGTACTAGGAGTGAGGGGTCCTGAGCAAGTGTGCTTGGGCAGCAGGGATGCCTCAGACCTTGACAGCTCTTTGGGACTGTTCCAATGACCAGGCACCAGATCTCTTCTCCGACGCCACCACTTCCTTTTTAAATTATTTATTTTTATTTGACGCTCTTTGGTGCTTTGCCTGCACGTATGTCTATGTGAGAGTGTTGGATTCTAGAATCACAGAAAATTATGAGCTGTCGTGTAAGTGCTGGGAATTGAACTCAGGACCTTTGGAAGAGCAGTTAGTGCTCTTAACCACTGAACCATCTCTCCAGCCCCTGCTTCTCTGGCCTTTAAAAGCTTCCGTTGCGCCTCCGGCCTCAGCTCCGACACTCCTCTGTGCCTTCCTGTTACTCCCTGGAACTGTTGAGCCGTTTCCTTCTATGAAGTCACTGACACTTTTGCTGCCCCTGTTGCTGCTGCTGCTGCTGACCCTGGTCTCCTGGTCCCTCCGGGAGCTATGGCTGCTGTGACTCAGTGTGCTGTCAGGCCATCTAGTCCACTGTCAGAGCTTGCTGTATCTGCCTTTCTCTACGCCAGCAGTCCCCTCCTGCACCACTGCGAATGGGTGGGGCAAGATCACTCTAAGGAAGCTTGTATGGGGCAGGACCAGAATGGCCCACCCACCCAATGAGCACTGAATGAGCTGGGTGGCCTGGCTGTATAGATGGGAAAAGTGCGGACCAATCACAGCTCTCTTTTGCAAATGAAAGTTTGTTATTTGCACCACCCCAACACTGCCTCTTCAGGATCCACCAGCCGATTAGGGGGGAAATGGTTACTGGGTCACCCAGAGTTCACAAAGGCCTGTGGTAGCAGAAAGTTGAGTAGGGACTGGGGTGCTGGGGCACTCAGCTGCTGGCATTGTATAGGTCCCTCAAAGCGTGCAGTGTTGAACATGGCTGGTGCTGGGCTAGGGGAGTCCAGATGGCCAGTTGACTGACAGTCCTTTTGCTTAAAGCAGCTGGAGACAGACAGACAGAGGGACAATTGCCCCATCCACCAATGTCTTTCTCTGCTTGCTGACAGGAAGCTGACCATGAGAAGGAATGCTTATGATAAAACCATAAGAGCCTGTCATTGTCCCTAACCCTGTTTAACAGTGCTTCAGCTGCGTGCATCCCTTTCCCAGGTCCCCAAGAGAGGATCCCCCTTGTTTACCTCAACTTCATCCACCATGACCAGCTTCCAGGGCCATCTATACTGCTACACACGAAGCCTCAAACTTTTTAGGGCTGAAGTGTATCAAAAGGTTGAGGTTTTTTTCATGCGTTTCGTCTGTGTGAAGATGTCACCACTGTGAACATGGTGGTCACTGTGAAACTGGAGTTTGTGTTGCTAGACTGGCCAGGAGTCGAGACTGTCCAGGCCGCCAGAATCAAGAAGACTTCTCTTGTAAAATACAACAGTGGTGTCTGCTAGCTCCTGCTGGGTTTGCTTCTGCAGTGACAAACACAGCCTCTGGGCTCTGCATAGCTGCGGCCTCTGAGCAGGGTGTGAGGCCCACTGCACTAAGGGCTGGATTTTTAAACATTTCCACTAGTGACCCCTCCCTTTTTTTTTTAACATGACCCTGCATATGTAACTGTGTAAAGAGATGTACAAGTAGAGCCTAAACTGATGGTGACAAATCATGGGTGTGTCTTAAACATTTTCTCTGTGCACACACAATTGCCGTTTATCAAGGATAACAGCAAATAAGACAGGCTTGCTTGATTTTACATAAAGAATTACATCTTGGCTGAATATTTGATACTGCAGGATTCAGAACACAGCGTGGATATTTTGGTTTTATGATACTCAGTGCTGAAAAGGCCCCTCCATATAAATAGATGAGCAGAAGAAAATGACAGATGTTGCCAAGGGACAGACATTGCCAAGGGCATTTCAGAAGTTGTTGGGAATTCTGTCCTGATCCCAAACCAGATTCATCATTTTCCCCCTTTTTTCTAAATGAGACTCAGTTCAGCAACTCAAACAGCAATAAAAAAAATCCATAAACTTTTATGTATTTGCATGCGTGGTGCACCAGAGTACTTGCGTGGAGGTCAGAAGGCAACTTGTGAGAGTTGTTTCTGTCTCCGCTCTTTGAGTCTGGAAGTCAAACTGAGGTCAGGCTTGATAGAAGGCACACCAACCTGCTGAGCCGTCCCATTGGCCCCAGGAAGTCATTCATTATTTCAGGATTTCTAGGTGGGCTGAAGAGATGGCCTGCTTGGTTACGAGCTTACCTTGCAAGCATAGGGCCTTGGGATCAGTCCTCAGAGCTTTTTAAAAGGCACCATTGTAATTCAAACTCCAGGTAGGTGGAGATAGATCCTTGGGGCTCTGGGCCAGCCTAGCCTACTTGTGGAGTTCAGTGCTGTCTAAGATCCTCAGAAAACAAAGAAGACAGTGCCCAGTGCCCCAGGAGTGACAGCTGAGGTTGTCTTGTATGCAAATGGAGGATGACAGCAATCTTTCTGCCTCACAGAGAGGTGTGTGTCTGACATAAGAACCTCTGGGACAAGATTTGAGGAGCAGAGTGCCGTAAGCTTAGACTTTTTAACAAATCTTGTTTATTTATATGTGCATTGCTGTTTTGCCCATATGTATGTCTGTGTGAGATGCCCTAGAACTGGATTTCAGACAGTTGTGAGCTACCACGCTGATGCTGGGAATGGAACCCATGTCCTCTGAAAGAGCAGCCAGTGCTCTTAACCACTGAGCCATCTCTCCAGCCTGGGCTTATACTCTTGAAACCTACTCGGTTTTATGTTTTCAGAAAGTTAGAAAGAAACTTTCTCCTTCCACGTTATCTAAATGCTGCTTTTTTGTAGATAGGACGTGAGGCTTGATTTTGTGGTTAAATGGCTGAACTGTGGTGACCATGGTACCCTAGAGTTTGAAGTTTCCCAGAAAGGATCCTCATTAGCTGTTTATGCATCCTCCTGCGACAAGGGTTCTGGTGGTAGTCACCTGTGAAGGACTTAAAAAGTAGCTCGTTTGAATGGCCACAATTCCATTGTTTGGGAGGTAGAGGCAGGAAGGTCTTGAGTCCCAGGTTAGCTTGGGTGACATAGGAAGACCTTACTGCAAAAGAAGATGAACTGTGGAGAGCAGTTTGCATTGAGAGATTTTGTGGGAGCTGTCTTGCTGCTCTGAGGGGTGCTTCAGGCTTGACCTCTCTACTCATTTTAACACGAAAGCTGGAGCAACTTGCCTGGGATGGCCCAGACTCTGTGTCCGGAGCGATTCTGTCTCGGACCTCCGGAGTGCACAAGCACAGATAGAGTCCCAGGTCTGAGCTAGATGACACTGGAGACAGACTCAAAGTGAATTGGCTGCTTGCAGTGGCGTCCCATGGTCGAGGGAGGAAGACTGAGGAGGAACCACGCATTGCATTTTAGAATGTTAGTAAATCAGAACAGAACAGGTCGTGTATAAGAGTTTGGATTTTTCCACAGACGAATTATTTCCTGTTTTTGCTCAAGATATATCTGAACTCTATGGCCTGAGAGCATCTGCCATGGCTGGACTTCCTCTTGGCTTCTTGGCTGCAGGATGAGCCTGCTTCCTGACAGCTACCGTAGTCTCTGCAGCCCTGCGTATTGCCTCTCTCTCTGCCTCGCTCACAACTCCACCACCAGGAAGTCTCTGTCTGGCTTCTGTCAGTGTTCCTGGCAATGGTCACCTTCTGTTCCAGGGGCCTGCACAGAACTGCAGTTTGGTTTCTCTCCCTGTCCCCCTCTGATTCTGTAATCACTCTTTCTTGAATGGCTGCTTCAAGGCACAAGGCAGTGTGCCTTCGAGACTCTGGACACATTTCAGGCCATGGCTCATGCTCAGAGAAGATTGCCAGAAATGGGGTTCTTGAGGTGCTCAGAGCCCTGCCACACCCTGGCCCTTCCCTCTCCTCCTTTTCCTTCCCTCCCTCCCGTCCCTCTCTCCTTCCTATTTTTCGTTATCTTTGACTTGCTGCATATCTCAGGCTTAGAGTTTACTCTGTAGCCCAGTTTAGTCTCAAACTCAGGACCCTCCTACCTCACTGTGTTGTACAGAGTAGCTTCAAATGTGTTTGGTTTTTTTGTTTGTTTGTTTGTTTGGTTTTGAGGCTTCTGTGTGTAGCCCTGGCTGCCCTAGGACTTGTTCTGTAGACCAGGCTGGCCTTGAACTCACAGAGATCCACTTTCCTCTGCCTCCTAACTGCTAGGATTATGGCCTGACTTGCCGGTTTCAAATTTGAAATCCTCCTGCCCCTGTTTCCAAAGGCAATCTGAAAGCCATGGCCAGGATTTCTCCTTGCGTCTCGTAGACTCTGAGATACCCATCTTTGACATCTTCATTCCCAAGGATGCAGAGCCCCTGGGCCAACCTCTGCTTTGCTCTCAGCCCTCTGTCTTCCTTGCTGGCTGATTCAGCTTAATGATCAGGGCTCGCCCCCCCTTCTGGAGTGAGCCACCCTAACAAGGTATGGCAGTGCCCCTTTCCAAATGTGGTCCCCTTGCTGAGGGCTGTTGGACAGCTTGTAATTCTTCAGCACTGTCCTTCATTCCAGACATCTGGAGAGCAGTGTATTGACCCACAGCGTGGGTTGGGCTCTTGGGGAAAGTCACACAGAAAGGGCTGGGGAGACAGAGTGCAGGTGTATGGTCCTGAGAAGCAGAGAGGGGGCTGCACTATGCTTTGTGGATATAGAAGGCACCCTCTTAGGTGATGTCCATTTTTCATTAAGCTGGTCCTGGTTGTGTTGTGTCCCTGGTGACAAAGATTGCTCTCACACTCCTGTGTGTGGTTTAGAGCAGCATACTCCCAGCCTTAACTAACCAGCCATCTTTTTTTTTTTATTTTTTTTTTTGGTTTTTCGAGACAGGGTCTCTCTGTGTAGTCCTGGCTGTCCTGGAACTCACTCTGTAGACCAGGCTGGCCTCGAACTCAGAAATCCACCTGCCTCTGCCTCCCAAGTGCTGGGATTAAAGGCGTGCGCCACCACTGCCCGGCCTAACCAGCCATCTTATCCATCCGCACAGTCAGCACTAGAGGAGGATGGATACGGTGTGGGAAGAGCTGATGCCTTAGTGAGGGTCCTGTGTGGAACCAAGTGGCTTTTTTGGGGGTTGAGGGGGGCACAGCCTCTCTGCTGTGTAACTCACTGGCCTGGAGCTCACTATGTAGATTGTGCTGACGTCAAACTCACAGTGATTCCCCAGCTTCTGTATCCTGAGTACTAGGAGTTTAAAAAAAAAAAAAAAGGTGCACCAGCACTCCATCTTTGACCACACTTCTTAAATTTGCAGATTTTTCTTAGCTGAGAAGTGCAGTGAGGTCTTGTCAGCAAGGTTCCCCGGGTGGTAAAGGAAACCTTTGTGTGTCAGGCCTGCAGGGCAAAGGCTGGATGCCCTCAAGCAGTGGAGGTTCCTGAGATGCCTTTCTGGGCTTGGCTGCTGGAAGGGAGGCCCAGCTAGTGCTGACTCACGGAGCTGGCTACCCTGGAGGATGGAGCTCAGCAGGTCCCTCCCCTGTGCCTCCTGGCAGCTAGGGCTCAGCAGTAGGACTTAGAGACCATCTTCTAGGGGCCGCTTATGGCCGTCCACAAAAACTGCTTCTAGCTAACTTAGACTTGTCTGTGCTGCTAGAGGCTTGGGCAGCCTGGAAGAGAGGCTTCCCAGTGGGTTGCTGTCCGGGCAGGACCAGCACCCCTCCAGCATCCTGTGCACTCAGGACTCCAGGCAGGCCTCAGAGGCAGCAAGCAGGCAACTCCTGTGTCATCCAGTGCTCTCCCGACCCAAGGCCATGCAGCGGGGCTTTGGAAGTGCCTGGTTCTGTTGTCTTGGATCCCGCCTTAGGGTGGTTCTAACAAGTAGCCCCATTCTAGGTGTGTCTGAGATGCCACCTTCTTCTCCACTGTTATTGATTCTGTCTTCCTCTGCTCCGCTCTTTGTCAGAGTGTTTATTGTTTATTATTATTAAACACAGTGTGCGGTCATCACCCTCTTAGAACGTCTGGATGCCTGCTGGCATACCTTGGAAGTTACCTTGCACCCAAAGTTTTTGTTTGTTTTTGATAAGGTCTCGTGTTTCCCAGGCTGGCCTTGAACTCACTCTGTAGTGGAGCTGACCTGAAAGGTCTGACAGTTCTGCCTTTGTCTCACAGGGGCTGGGTTACAGGGGTGTGCCACCAAACTCAGGAGCACTTCATTATTTTCATGTATTATTTTTAAAATTTATTTTACTTTTGTGTGTATGAGTGTTTTGCCTGCATGTATGTCTGAACCACATACATGCCTGGTACCCAAGGAGGTGGGAAACTTCCATGTGGATGCTGGAAATTTTACCTGTTCTTTCCAAGAACAATAAGTACTCTTAACACCAAGCCAACCTTCTAGTCCCATCCCCAGTAGCCTTTTAAATCTTTACAGAAAAATTTTTAAAAGATTTGTTTATGTATTATATATGTGTGTGTGTGGTTTTCTGTTTGTTGTTTTTGTTTGTTTGCCTTCAGGTCCATCTGCACACCAAAAGAGGGTATCAGGTCCCACGGGACTAGAGTTATAGAAGTTATGAGTCACCCTGTGGGTGTAGGGAATTGAACTCAGGACCTCTGGAGGAGCAAACAGTGCTCTTAACCACTGAGCTATCTCTCCAGCCCCCACCCTCAGTAGCATTTTAAATCTTTACAGAAAGTATAAATATTACAGGGATAGTGATTTAGCCCGGTGTTAGAGAACTTACCTCGCATATCAGAGCCCTAAGTCAGTTTCCCAGGATAACTCTGCGTGTGTGTGTCTGTGTGTGTCTGTGTGTGTCTGTGTGTGTGTGTAGTAATTTCTTCATGGATACAGTCTGTTTCTAATGGCCCTGACTTCGGTGAAGATGAAAACACCTGCGGTGGGAATCTGGCCTTCCCCAGCTCCCCCCGTTCCCCTAGCCCATGTTCTGTCACCTGTCACCAGGAAGAAGCTGTACAATTAGGTGGTTGCAGGCTCCGGAGCGTGGCTCCTCTGCTGCACTCGGTGAGCTGAGGTGCTGGGGCCCTGACTTGCTTCTCGGCCTTTGTGACACCTGGGAAATGTTTTCTGTTCCAGTGTAGGAAGAACGACGATGGAGACACTGCTGTCGTCATTGTCGAGAAGGACCATTTCATGGACGATTTCTTCCACCAGGTTGGTATTTAATGACGCACAGCCACAGACTTCATCTCTGCTCATAGTTACCTTACAAGAGCAGTGTTTGTGGTCACATGTAGAACAGCACACCCGTGCACTCTGGAACTGTGCTTTGGCTAATGGCGGGAGCCCTGTGTCTGACTGTGATCCCATGTGGCACTAGGGCCATCGAAGCCATCTGGGAAGTCACCCAGCCACCCGGTTCTACTTGTATCCCTGTCATGACTGACGTGTGACTGCATTTTTGCCTGCTTTGATTTTAGAGTTTCCAGATGATGCCTCACTGTGTGGCCCAGGTTCACTTTGACCTTGCCATCCTCCTGCCTCAGCCTCCTGAGCACGGCTGTGTTTAAAGTTGTTTGAAGTGTGTAAATTCTTGGGGACTTTCAGTGTCATCAGTAGTTGATGTGGAGACAGCTTCAAGTAACTGCATGCAGACAGTCTGGGAGGGAAGGCTGGATACTCACGGGATGGAGGTGTGGTAGGGCGTAGGACCAGTGTACAGGACCAGTGTACCTGGGTGAGTGGGTCAGGGCCCCATACTCTCCCTATGACTTGGAGCTGTAGGATCCCAAGCAGTACTTCCTCTCCTGGGAAGCCAACCACATCTCTGAAGTGACTTTTTTTTTTTTTTTTTTTTTTGGTTTTTCGAGACAGGGTTTCTCTGTATAGCCCTGGCTGTCCTGGAACTCACTCTGTAGACCAGGCTGGCCTCGAACTCAGAAATCCACCTGCCTCTGCCTCCCAAGTGCTGGGATTAAAGGCATGTGCCACCACCGCCCAGCTGAAGTGACTTTTTAAAGGATCTCACCATGAGACTTGTGGCCTCTCAGGAACCCAAGCTTCTTAGTCCCACGGAGGCAGGAATTCTGGCTTCTAGCTCAGTGCCTGGGGCCACGTTTGCTGTTGCTATTGTTCACCTACGAAGAAGGTTACTGTGCTCTGAGGCCATTGAGTGCCCTCACTCGTTTTCATCTGGATTCCCCCAAGAGCACAGCTGCGTTGGCTACAGACCTTATTTTGTAGATCCTCGGTGGACTGAGGGCTTAGAAAAAGAAACAAATAGGACTTGTTAATGAAGGGCCTCGGGGAGTAAAGCCTCCAGGCCTTACCCATCATACAGAAGGATGCAGAAGACAGACTTCACTCCTGACCAGTGAGGCTGATCAGGAAGAGGCAGCATGACCATGGCAACTCTCACAAAGGAACACATTTCGCTGGGGCTGGCTTACAGTTCAGACGTTTAGTGCATTATTGGTACGGTGAGAAGCATGGCTGTGTGCAGGCAGACATGGTGCTGCAGAGATAGCTGAGAGTTCTACGTCTGGATCCACAGGCAGCAGGAAGAGAGAGTGACATGGGGCCTGACTTGAGCTTCTGAGACCTTAGATCCCACCCCAGTGACACACTTCCTTCAATAAGGCCACAAATCCTAATAGTGCCCCTCCCTGTGAGCCTGTGGGGGCCATTTTCATTCACACCACTCCCCCCAGGTTATCTTCCCAGCTCGTCTCAGGCCTGTGAAGACCTTGTTTGCCGCAGAAGGCAGTATCAGGAAGTGGACAGCATATGGTGGCTGTAATTACATAATCATTTTAAAGTGAAGGGAGGAAGAGGAACTGGTGGTGGTCCTCCTGCCTCGGCTGCCACGCTGCATCCCTGTAGCCAGGTTATATCTGGGTCCAACCTGGACGACCCTCAAGCCTCCTCATCTCATATCCCCAGCTGAATCTATATAAGGTCCTTGCTATATAATGTAGCAATTACAGGGGCAGGACACCGTCAGGGCCCCCGCTGATGAGTGACCATAAAGTTTTAGAGATGTAAGTCCATCTGAATGAGTCTTGTAGTGAGTTGATTACACCATGCAGAGATTCAGGAGGATGACTGAAGGGCCATCCACCTGGATGGCGAGGGCTTCCCCATGGGAGGATGTTCCCTTAACTCTTCCGTGGACATGGGGTGTTCACTGCTGACTCTGCTGTGTGGTATGGAGTTGCATGCTTTAACTTAGTACTGTCCCTCATGGTACTTGGGCTCCAGTGTAGGGATTTTTATAGCACATAATTTTTGCTGGCAAAAGTTGTGTTAGACCTAAGAGTAGGCCTCTGGTAGATTTCTAGTTTTACTACACTTTAATTGCATATATGTACACATGTATGTGTATGTGTACATACGTGTGTACACTCATGTTTATGCTACAGTGTGCAAGTGGAAGTCAGGGCAGCCTTTAGGAGTTGGCTCTCTCTTTCCACCAGATGGATCCCAGGGATCAGACTCAGGTGGCAAGCACCTTCAGCCATCTTGCTGGTTTGCTGGTGACTTTTTTTTTTTTAAAGATGTATTTATTTATTTCATAAATAAAGTACACTGAATACACTGTCACTGTCTTTAGACAAACGAGAAGAGAGCATTGGATCCCCACTAAAGATGGCTGTGAGCCACTATGTGGTTGCTAGGAATTGAACTCAGGACCTCTGGAAGAGGAGTCAGTGCTCTTAACCGCTGAGCCATCTCTCCAGCCCCGACTTTTTTTTTTTTTAAGTGACAATCACGGTGACAGCAGAAGAGATGCATATCCCTTCTGTGGGATCACAAGTCTCCCGCTCCTTCCTCCCCCGGGAGGAGATGGACAGGGGTGGCAGCTTTGGCCTTATCACAGTGTCTCTCTCTGTCCTAGGTGGAGGAGATTCGAAGCAGCATAGCCAGAATTGCTCAGCACGTAGAAGATGTGAAAAAGAACCACAGCATCATCCTTTCTGCTCCGAACCCAGAAGGAAGTAAGTCTGTCACCTGTCGGTCTGTCCTCCAGCATCTCCTTAGGTCTCATGGAGGTGACCACACCCAGGCACCCTTGGCATTCCAGGAATTTTGTTTTGTTTTGTTGTTTTGTTTTTGTTTTTCAAGACAAAGTTTCTCAGTGTAGCCCTGGCTGTCCTGGAACTCACTCTGTAGACCAGGCTGGCCTCGAACTCAGAAATCCACCTGCCTCTGCCTCCCAAGTGCTGGGATTAAGGACATATGCCACCATTGCCCAGCTCCAGGGTACCTTCATAGTGTTTGAAGGCTGATAAGTCATCCCACTGTCCAGCTGGGGAATGACTGTTAGGCAGGATCCAAAGGATACGTGAGTGTGCCAGTGGGACTCTGGCCTCGACAGTGGCTCAGCCACAGGTCTACCCTGTTTCCACAGTTGAGGGGTGTTGGATCTTGTGTTTGGGGACGTTGACAACAGGCTGATTTGGAAAGCAGTGGTTGCCTGATGGAGCTGGATTAGCAATGGAGGCTGAGAGGCGAGACTTGAGTCTGGAGGCCAGCCGTATGCTGGGTACCGACAGAGCAGGGAGGACCGGCTAGACTCCCATTTACCTGTGGCTTAGGATATCTGAATAATCTTTCTAAATCCCAGCTCTTCTTAGAAACATTGAATGCCTTTGTTTAGAGACTTTCAGTGTTGGCTGCCACTTACAGAAAGAAAAAAAAAAAAGTCCTGGAAACCGAGACACAGCCTGTGGGGCTTTTGCCAGTGTCTGGTCACTTCCACACATCAGTTTCTGAAAAGCAGCTAGCTCACCTGTGGTCCCTCCACTGCCCTAAAGGAGCTACTTTGCCTGTTTACTGGCTGCGTATTCTGCTTCCTCCTGGGGAGTCTCCTAGGATCTCTGGTTTCCGGTCACACTGGGGTTTTGTTTGGCCTCCCTCACATCTGTCAGGCTCTGGTTTGCTTCACCTCCTTGGGTGTATTAATGACATCACATCAGATTGCAAGAGAGACTCTGGGTGGGGTCCCCCAGAGCCTCCTTAGATGCCATAGGGGTTCAGACATGTTAGTTAGCTACAGCAGGTAACCTCCCACCCAAAGAATGGCTAGGACACCAGAGTAGGCTCTGAAGGTCTAGAGCCAGGTCTCCTGGAGAGTGGCATGTGTGGTGGTGTCTCTGAAGGACCAGGAAGACAGCGACAGCAGAAGGGGCTTCTGGCAGCTTCTTCCCAGGTGTGGTTGTGTGCATTCTCTGTCCTGGTGAAGGTTAGCACAGAGTCAGTCTGCTGTTAGATCTCCTGGTTGTGGTGAGCCTGCAGTTCTGTCTGATGACACAATTCAGGGTCTACCAGGAGCTGGCCTGGACCCAGCAGTGGTGACTGTGGGAGGCGCACTTGGACAGGCACCGAGGAAAGAAGGCTGGCTGCTCTGTGCTCGGCCTGCATGCCTGTGTCTGCAGTGTTAAGCACTCCAGCTCAGATGCTTCCTTTTCACTTTTTAAAGAAATCAAAGAGGAGCTGGAAGACCTGAACAAAGAGATCAAGAAAACAGCTAACAGGATCCGGATCAAGCTGAAGTGTGAGTTGGCCCCTTGGGTGCTGGTGGGGCATGGACGTTGGTACCTTTTTCCTTAGGGTTTTCTTATTATTACATTTCCCCAAATGAAAATTGAGACTGCTTCTAAGTAGGTTGGATATCTGTATCCTGTGCTATATATACCTTATTGTGGCTCTGTAGGTGACATTGGGCAGGTATTTTTAAGAAAGGGGCGTAGCCTTTATAGTGACTTGACAAGCTCTCAGGTGGGTCTCTTAGCTAGAGTGGACTTTCCAGCCCCTGGCAGCTCAGCCAAGATCATGATCCTCTGTGTTCAGCATGACCCCTGGGCTGGGTGAGGGTTGTGGTTTTTTGCAGAGTGCTTAAACAGAAGTTGCCTTCCTTGATCTGTGAGGAAGACACGTGTTTAACTTACAGAGACACATCAAAAGGAACAAATCTCATCTCTGCACACGCCCTCTTCTCAGGAACAACCAGGTGGCAGACACTCTGCCCAGGTCCTAATGGGCTCTCAGCACTCCTCACTGGTCTCAAGGCCAACCTCTGAGAGTGTGCCCCTTAAAAACAACGTTGTTCCCAAGAGCACACCGCTTTATGTCTGATTCAGACTCACTACAGTGACTGGATGACTAAAAACACCTGGCACACCCCAGCTGTGCATACGATATACTTATACAAATGCACACACATGCAAATGAGCCAGAGCAACATAGAAACAGACATGTGGTTACATAAACACACACACACACACACACACACACGCATAGGAATGCCTAAAAACAAACACATAAGACCCATGTGCAGTCACATACGTGTATGCATGTTTGTTTATGATTTTGTTTTTGTGTGTTTTTCTGTATACATGTGTTTATGGTTTTGATGTGTATGCATACATAAAACATAAGTGTTTGTGAATGACATGTCTGTCATTGTCCACATGTGTGCACAGTGTCATAAGCATTCCTCATGATGGGTAGTCTTTAGAGGACAATTTCCAGAGGTCACCTGTTCTTTAGTTTTATGGGGAACGTTGAGGCCATCCCCGAGACTGATGTCCTATCTGGGTGACTCTGTCCTGCTTCCTTCTAGCTATTGAGCAGAGTTGTGATCAGGACGAGAATGGGAACCGGACGTCAGTGGACCTGCGGATACGAAGGACCCAGGTCGGCCTTCCAGCCTCCGTTAAAGTGACGTGGGAGAAAAGCGTTCTACTTTGTCCAGATTCAAAGCAATTTCATTTTTTTTTATTGTGCTGGAAATTGAAGCCAGCATCCTCCACATGCTCAGCAAGACCTCTGTCACCGAGTCACATCTGAGCCCAGTTGTTTGATCTTTACAGTCACAGCTGCCTTCACTGTCTCTCTGCATGTGGGCTGCATCTCTTCACTGTGAAGAGATGACTGGGCTACCCACACGCTCTGTGTCACAGAGTGGAGGGCTAGTCAGATCATCTAGATGGGAGTGGTTTGTTTTTGTTTGTTTGTTTGTTTGTTTGTTTTTCCTTTGGTTTTTTGAGACAGGGTTTCTCTGTGCAGCCCTGGCTGTCCTGGAACTCACACTGTAGACCAGGCTGGCCTCAAACTCAGAAATCTGCCTGCCTCTGCCTCCCAAGTGCTGGGATTAAAGGCGTGCGCCACCACTGCCCGCCTCTTTTCTTTTTTAGAATTGGTTTTGTTTTTAAGGATTTATTTATTTATTACATATACAGTGTTTTGCCTGAATGTACACCGGGTGTGGTTGTCTGCCAGAAGAGGGCACCAGATCTCACTATAGATAATTGTGAGCCACCATGTGGGTTCTGGGATCTGAACTCAGGACCTCTGGAAGAACAACAGCCAGTGCTGTTAACCTCTGAGCCATCTCTCCAGCCCGGTTTTCAACCTTCTTAATGCTGTGACCCTTTAATATAGTTCCTCATGTTGTGGTGACCCCCAACCGTAAAATTATCTTCATTGCTACTTCATAACTGTAACTTTGCTAGTTATGAATTATAATATGAATATCTGATAGGCAGGATTTCTGATATTCGACCCCAAAGGGGTTGTGACCTACAGGTTGAAACCACTGGTCTTAACTATTCAAGGTTTATGGTTGAAACTGGGAAGCTCAACCCTGCTTGACTAAGCCTGCCAGCTCAGGGAAGTCCACGTGCCTTCCAGCTGGATTCAACCTCTGATAATGCCCACCCTCCAGAGGTCAGCTGACTGCCCCAGGCTCCAACTTATTTGTTGTTGTTATTGGTGGTGGTGGTGGTATTTTGTTTTGTTGAGACAGAATCTCACTATGTATCCCTGGCTGGCCTGGAGCTTGTAACACAGACTAGGTTGACCTTGAACTCACAGAGATTTACTTACCTCTGCCTCCCCAGTATTGGAATTGAAGGCATGTGTCACCATCCTAGTGGCCCAGGTCACGTGTCTCCCGTTGCCGCTTTTGCTCTTACTTTCTTCTGGAATGGAGTAATTCTTAGTCGTAAGTTCTACCTTTCTCAAAGGACGAAATGGCCCCCGTATAGTAACACTGTGTTCTCCATGTTCTAGCACTCGGTGCTGTCACGGAAGTTTGTGGACGTCATGACAGAATACAATGAAGCGCAGGTCCTGTTCCGGGAGCGAAGCAAAGGCCGCATCCAGCGCCAGCTAGAGATCAGTGAGTAAAGGGTGGGTGGTAGGCGTGCTTCAGGGAACCTTCCCATCAGACGGCGTTCCCACTTCTAACTGCACCATAAACTCAAAAGCCCTTTGCTGAAGCCTGTGCCTCGAGTCAACCAGATGTGTTATGTGTCATAAGCTTCAGAGTTCTGAGTGCCAGGCGGTTGTGGCTCATTGCTGGCGCTGTTATTTCACACATTCAGAAAACTTGCAGTCCTGATTTCTTCAGGCATTGCAGTGTCCTGCAGCCCCTCCTACCTGGCTGGGAGATGATCTCCCATGTGTTTGCTTATCCAGTCGTCAGATGCCACCTTCAGTTTAACTTCCTCTGGCCAGAAGCCCTGTGGACCTGTGGGAGAGCATAGCTGCTCCTCTCTGTAACACCAGGGTAGGTTTGTGACACATCCGGTCACATTTCTGCCATATTAACCTGCCCAGGAAAGTATCTTAGAAAGGGCAGGGAAACCCTGTTGTTGACAATGTTAATGGCTCAGTTAAGGCTTATTGAGACCATGTCTTAGCTAGGGTTTTATTGATGTGAAGAGACACCGTGACCATGGCAATCCTCATAAAGGAAAACATTTAATAGAGGCTGGCTTTCAGTTTAGAGGTTCAGTCCACTATCGTCATGGCGCGGGAAGCATGGCAGCACGCAGGCAGACATGGTGCTGCAGAGGTAGCTGAGAGTTCTACATCTGGATTGTCAGGCAGCAGGAAGAAAGAGTGACATCGGGCCTGGCTTGAACGTCTGAGACCACAAATCCCACCCCCAGTGACGCACTTCCTCCAACAAGGCTCCTAATAGTGCCGGTCCCTGTGAGCCTGTGGGGGCCACTGTCATTCACACTCCCACACGCCCCCAGTTGAGCAGCCCTGGCTGCTACACCAGGCTGCGTCCTCAGTGCAGTTCCCATTGTCCCTCAGCTGGGAGGACCACCACTGATGAGGAGCTGGAGGAAATGCTGGAGAGCGGGAAGCCGTCCATCTTCATCTCGGATGTGAGTCCCCCGGCGTGAATGCACACGCTTACCTAGATGGTAAGTCTTTAGCTTACTGGCCAGTCTGAAGTTAGTAATACTTTTCCTTTTATCTTCCAAAGATTATATCAGATTCACAAATTACTAGGCAAGCTCTCAATGAGATCGAGTCACGCCACAAGGACATCATGAAACTGGAGACCAGCATCCGAGAGCTGCACGAGATGTTCGTGGATATGGCCATGTTTGTCGAGACTCAGGTAACGAGGCATCTACACAGAGCCTGGCCGTGGAGCGTCCTCTGTGCAGCCTGCTCTGGCCAAGACAGCCACAGCTTGCTATCCAACCTCAAAATTCAAGAGTTGATCGTGGTGTTAATGCTGAACTATACACTGCAAGTATACACTTGCTCATAAGACACTGGGTAGTTATAGCCGTGGGACACTTCCATACAGGCCAGCTACTTAGGTAGACAGCCACAGGCAACAAACATCGGGCGCTTGTTCATGGAGAATAATGAGATCTTCAAACATCTGTGGTAGATTTTAGGGTAAAATGAAAGGACATACAGAAGCCGTACTTTAGCCATGTGTATGTGTAAGTGTAAATACATGTGAACACACATCATGTGACCTCAGCTACTTATAACAGTGCTCCCAGAGGAAGGAGGTGGCCAAGCCAAGCACCCTGAAGACAGCAGGACCCTGGGGCCATTGGTCTTCCTCTCTTGGGGCTCTCTCCCACAGCAGTGACTAGGCAAGGACTGGGGCAGTAGCTAAAGGCTAACCTCGAGGGTGAAATCAGGAGACCGCCCAGAGCCCACACTCATTCTGTGGTGTTCTTGCCTGCCCTGCAGCTCAGGCAGGGAGGACCAGAGAGTGCATGCAGGTATCAAGACATCAGGTTGTGTGTGTCACATGTGATGTGCTCGTACTGGCTCAGTAGCAGTGGGGACCTGCAGAGACTGGACTAGTCTTCCCAGGGTTTTCAGACCTCTCAGGAAAGTCTGAGGTGGGCTAGAGTACAGGTGGCCCCCAGGTTCCTCGCCCCCTTTGTGAACCAGCTTTTGGGGTGCTTTGCTTATAGCCAGTGATGTTCTGTCGTTACCTGGATACAGCAAGGGTTTACAGTGCCCATCCCCACTTGCCCTGGTAGCCTGTGAAGAATGGGGTTTATTTTGGTGAACTTTATCATAAAACTGTGAAAATCTCAAGTACCATACGTCCATGGAAGACACGTAACAGTTCATGGAGCCAAAGATAGGCCCTGATGAATTGGAGTTGGGTACCCGTGGGCAGGGATGGGCACTGATGGCCAGCGGTGGACACGTGTGGTTCTCTTTGATATGGGATGGACCATTTGCCACTCGGTCTAAGAACTGAGGAGCAGGGTATCTGCCGAGTTTGCAGGAAGGTTCAGAGAGAAAGCAGTAAGAATGGCGGATTGATTTTGGAAACCCAGAGCTTTGTAATAATTGTTCAGGCTTTATGATGCCACCCCCTGCATGTAGTATGAAGCGGCATCACACAAGCTGCTGTTTGTGGCCTCACTTCCCTAGTAGAAACCTGTCACTGTGTTACATTGATAGTCCAGAGACAGTACTTACTAGTGCATCTGTTTGTGAATGATAAGTCACCTGTCCATCCTTCTCCAATGCTTTGCTATTGGCTGCCACAGACTCTGTCTCCTTCTGGACGGGACCCAGGTAATGTGCCCCTCCCCAGGTAATGTGGCATCTCCTCCATTTTCATCTTTGACCATCAGTTCATCGTAACTCCAGGGCTGTACTTACAGTTTGTTGATATTGTCAAGATAAACAGTGGTGATTTTCTGTGTGTCAGAAAAAACATCATCCTTAGCGTGCGGAATGTTTTAGTGCCCTGAGCTTGCAGCCCTCCCTTTACCTCGTGTCCAAGAAGAGTTCACCTGTCGGGTCACATCTCATTTGTAGACAGTCTTCACCTGTCTCCGTGCTGCCAACCCCCTTTTTGCTGCTTCTAAAACATGAATGGAATTGGATTGCTTTTGCTGGCCCATCTGCACCAGCCTAGCCCTCCTGCGTAACTGAGAGGATCCTGTCTCCATCCCTCTCATGCTGGGCTTACACGAGAGCTATCTCAGGAGACATGGCAGAGCAATTTGAAGTTTGCTGAGTTCAAAATTTGTTTTCAGGGTGAAATGGTCAACAACATCGAGAGAAATGTGGTGAACTCTGTAGATTACGTGGAACGCGCTAAGGAAGAGACGAAGAAAGCCATCAAATACCAGAGCAAGGCCAGGCGGGTGAGTCGCTCTACTGAGGACGGAGCCCTGGCATGGTTTCTCCTCCCTTGGCTTCTAGCTGTGGAATGAGCAAAATGCCTTAAATACACGTTTTATTTTAAAATCAAAAGTAATTCTTTTCACTAAAATTTCCTAGGTCGATTGGCTTATTTGTATATCAGCCATTTAGTGGGAGGAACAAGCTGATAGGATTTGAGTTTTCTCTAATAATCACTGGTGGTGCATTGTCTTTTAGAGCTGTTTGCTTTGTTAGGTAACTGGCTGGCTGAGGCTGTGGGCAGGCCTGGTGTCTTGAGTAGGAGCCCTGGGAGGCAGTCTCAAAGGTAGTCGTCCCTTTGCTTGGGCTTCTGTTTTGTACCCAGACTGTCCCAAGGCAATTCTGGAGCAGCAGATGCTACTTACTGGTGCAGAATTGGATGTACTCTGCTAACTTACGAGTATGTCCCGTAACATCTCTGGAGTTCGGTTTTGAGTTCCACGTTGCTGCTTTCAGAAGTGCCAAGGATGCTGTCTGTTTAGCAGTGAGTTGTAACACCTTTGTCCAAATCTTCGGATTAAGACACATGGGCATGCAAATTCTTCCGGGACAGCTGAGGGCCTGCAGAGGGCATCACTGCCTGGTGCAGGTGGGAGGAAGCATAAGCAGGCTAGGTTTCCCAGACAGGGCTCTGACTTCGGGGCTTTCTAGGAAACTGTACTGTATTCCAATCCGGCAAAAACTGGTATGAGTCTGTTATGTGCCCAGGCAAAAGCTAGTGTTGCTGGGTTACATAGCAGGCTGACTGTAAGAGGCCTGACCTCACAGATCAAGACACTCTAGGAAGTAAAGTCTGCTCTAGGTCTCAGTAGAGCCTGTAACTTAGAGTTCAACATGAGTTCTGGCAGTCGCTTCGCTCCAGTGAAGGATGCCCTTGACCATGGCGGTGTGCAATCAGCATGGTATAATCAGCCTGCTTTTCTTTGACAGAAAAAGTGGATAATTGCTGCTGTGGCGGTAGCTGTCATTGCTGTCCTGGCTCTAATCATTGGCTTGTCGGTTGGCAAATGATTGCGTAGATGGCGCTGGGTGCTTGCCTCTCCCTCAGGGTGGCAGTAAGTGACTAATCAACTAATTTACTTATTAACCTTCTCAATCAGCCAGTAGTGTTGTTTGCCCAATGTTGATATGCTCAAAATTCACAGGGGCTTGTCCACTGAGCACTTTGGTTCAGGCGTTAGTGGCCTCTGCTTATTGAGGTGACACAGGCTGAGAAGCCACTCAGCTCGGCACAAGGTGGCTGTTCCCTTGCCCGCTCCCAGGAAAACACTAGTGTAAATGTTGCTGTTCTTCTTACATTGTAATGTTGCAGTTCGAGTTACATTGTAACTTTTGGGATGATGATAGCAACTGCAAAGGACTGTGAAATGCTCTTAACTGCTCAGTTCACGGTGAGACTGAGAGAATGGAACTGCAACAGACCAAACCCTTCTCAGGTCCCCGCCTGGCAGCATCTGTTCATTGGAAAACAAACCCTGATATTTAATTAGCCCCCTGCTAATTTCTGCAGGACCCCAAGTGTAATGCAGTCAGTCTGGAAGGATTCCTTTTGTTGGTCCTGGGCCTTATTCCCCTGGGTCCTAGTGATTCCCTGCTGTACTGGGGACCTGTGGACACTGGACTGCTTCTTCTTCTTCTTCTTTTTTTTTTTTTTTTTTTTTTTTTTACGAAAAAGGGGTTTTTCTTTGTACCCCTGGCTGTCCTGGAACTCACTCTGTAGACCAGGCTGGCCTCAAACTCAGAAATCCACCTGCCTTTGCCTCTCAAGTGCTGGGATTAAAGGCATGCGCCACCACCGCCCGGCCTGGACTGCTGCTTCTATTTTTTTTTTTTAAAGATTTATTTATTTATTTTATTATGAGTACACTGTCGCTGTCTTCGGACACACCAGAATAGGGCATCCAATCTCATTATGGATGGTTGTGAGCCACCATGTGGTTGCTGGGATTTGAACTCAGGACCTCTGGAAGAGCAGTCAGTGCTCTTAACCACTGAGCCATCTCTCCAGCCCTGGACTGCTGCTTCTTAACAATAGTTTTTCACTATGGCAGAAAGGAGGCTCCCCCAAGCTGCCGTCCTTACGGCCTTTCCACCCTTTTCTCTCTTGATTCGAGCACCTGCCAGGTATGGCTGCAATTGGTAGGATCCCTGCTCCTGTGTTAAGTGCAGGCTGTGGGGTTGCACAGAGAGCTCTCATCCTGGGACAAGAAGGACTTGCAGCCCCTTGTCTGTTGCCTGGGAGGTTCATACACATCTTTCCTGATGCTAGTCTGCTGAAAAAGATGACAGATTAATTTTTTTTCTTCTACAGAATGGGATTTTTTTTCAACATTTTCATTACTTTGTAAAACCATGCACTTTTATGTTTTATTTTTTTGTAGCACCACGAGGTCAGCTATGCTGTGAAAATGGTCACAAAGGTCCGATGGTGGCACTCAGCATGACCAGGGAAGCCCCTGCTTTTTGTGGGTACCCATGGTCTCTTCTTGCTAGGACTCAGGAGAGCAAGTCTCATCTTCTGCCTTGGGTCAGCTGGCCATTTGCTGTAGTGCCTGTATATAACACACACAGGCACACACTCACATACACACACTTACACACATGCATGCACACACAAATAGAGCATACGTACACATTCCTCCTTTCCTTCATGAAACCAGACCAGACAGCTGGGCCCTGTTAAAGAGGTGCTTTTCTGTTCCCTCCTGTCTCACCCGGAGCATGTTTCCTAATGACAGACAAATGTCGCAGCTGCCAGTTGTAGTGGGGCATCATGGGACGGTGCTTGCTTCCTCTCTGCACTGCAGACTCCTTCCTGTCTCTTTTCTTGCAGAAGGTGATGTTCGTCCTCATTTGTGTAGTCACTTTGCTTGTGATCCTTGGAATTATTCTAGCAACAGCATTGTCATAGCAACCGCACCCCAAGAGCTCTGTGTCCTCGGAGACTCCGCCCACACCTGCAGCTTAGTCAGCATCCTGTCCTTCCTTGGACCCCAGGGTGAGCGCCGAGCCCCAAGTGCTGAGGTTTTTATTGGTGACGAAGAATAAAGTGTTGCAGAGGTTTTGTACCATGAAACACTGCCAGCGAGCCGAGTGGATACGACATGCCAGCCCGGATAGCCTCGGTCTCTCTGAAGGACACCACAGAGAGTTCACAATGGTGGCCTTGCCTCGGTAGCTTTGAAATAGGAATGATTGAAGAAGTCTAACTTTTAAAGAAGATGTCAGTGTTAAAAATGTATGTTGTGTTTAATTAGGGTGTGCTCTGTGCCCTCGGCTGACAGTGCTGATGAGGAGACTTCGTGCCGGGCCTGATCTCCATTCATGTCTTGTTTGCAGAATCATCACAGAACTGTTTTGTAAGGCATCTGTAATTTTAAATATCTGTAAGTTAAGTTCTTTAATATATTAACATCTAAACTCCCTTTTCTAAGCTAGACACTGCCTTGTGAAGGACAATGGGCCAGTCCCAGGCAGCCATGTACAGATTGCTGTTGTCACTGAAAACATGGCCTCGCAGCCCCTCAGGGCCCTTCTTCAGTGCCTTCTGGTGACCCCGACTAGAAAGTGTGAGGGTCTGAAGAGCCTTGAGTCTCGTTAGCTCATGGAGGTGACAAGTATCACGTGCTGCACTCACGTTGCTCTCGTCCTTGTTCACTCGTGCTTATGGAGCCTCAAGGCAAGGCGACAGCGATGACAGAACCAAGAGTTGGTGCTCACTAAACTCAAGGGAATGGTCCCAGGCACAAAGCCACTCCTGGACAGCTTCCGAAGGACCAGATCCTCAGCCCAACACCCACCAGTACCCAGAGTCCCTAAGAAACAATGAAGTGTGGTATAAAGCCGTGCACTGTGAATAGGTGGCCCAGTGACTGCGTATCTGTCAAGACCAAGTGTGTGAAGGACACCATGCCTAGTGAACTCTGCTGATCGCTGACTGTGTGTGTGAGTGCTCGCTCTACCCCAGCCTCCTTTGGTGGGATCTGATGTAGCCATGCCGATTCAGAACACCAAGTGTGAGTGCTACTGAACTATCTAGAAACCGTGATCCTTTCAGTGGTGAGTGTGCCACACTGTCACCTCCTCACACTGCCTAGCCTGACACCCCACTTGCCGAAAGCTACTGCAGCAGGCTGGGCTGTGTGTCCTGGTCCAGAGCTAGCCTGTAGCGGAGACACTCCTGGCTGATAGCTCACCCATCGTGCCTGGAAGCTCACACCTCCTGTCTGGGAGCTCACACTTCCTGCCTGGGAGCTCACACTTCCTGCCTGGGAGCTCACACTTCCTGTCTGGGAGCTCACACTTCCTGTCTGGGAGCTCACACTTCTTCCTGCCTAGAAGCTCTGAAGATGAAGCTGTGTGTGTGCAGCTCCCACCCTCTCTGCTTCTGTGCCATCGACTTTAGCTGCAGAGGACACGCATTCCACCCAGGCTCCCACCACCCACAGCCAGGTTTCCTTCAAGTCCACCCTGAGCCCTTGGCCTGCAATGTGCTCACTGAGTGCTCAGGAGGCCTCTTGATCAGGCAGGCAGTCGAATCTGGTTTTCCAGTGAAGCAGGGGGTGTGTGGGTGAGTGAGTCAGCACTCCAGATACATCTCTATGCTGACTTCATAGCCTATTTAAAAATACATATACAGATTCCCTTGTTACTTTTTCCAACCATTTCTTCAAATATTTTGTGTTTACATTAAAAAGTTCTCAGAGAAGCAAACAAGAAATAGTTTCTGCCTCATCTTTATAGCAGGGCCTTTGGGGAGATCACTGTTGTGTAAGAGCCCATTGTGGGATACTTTCTGAGGAGTCATGAACATGTCTACGCACTCCAGATAGGAAGCCAACCACAGACCAAAGTAAGTCTAAACACACTGTCCGTGTCAGCGTGTCATCCAGGCAGGAGATGTCAGTCATTATCCGGAGCAGAGCAGCTGAGGTGATCACTGGAAACCTCTGCCAGTGAGGCCTGTTAGCTTGGAGGGCTGGGCACAGGCTGACTGGGGATTGGGGGTCTGTAGTAGTGTAACTGCCTGTTCATTTCCCGGAGACTGCTCCGTGGTGCAGCTTGTCCTGAGTTGTCATGCAACAGGCTGCCCAAGAGTGGTATACATGAATGAGCATGGTAGATTCACTAGTTACCAAGGGGATTTGAATGTAATCCTTTCTTGGGTAGGTGGCCCCTCAACCTGAGGTCAATAGACATTTATTTCCTCTAGGATTCACCCTGACTCGAGGGAGTGTGATAACATGAGAGAGAGAGAGGCCAGGAGTCTCAATCTCAGCCCAGTCACTGGAGGAGAACCACATGAGTCTAGGGCCCAGATACAGGCACAGTGAAGCATGTGTGTGCTGGGGGCCTGGTTAACTCCAGCACCTGGAGTTAAGCCACAGGACCTTATCCCACCTCGCCTTTCTATTTTATCAAAACACTCCCACCAGGCTTGTGGAACCCCACCTGGAGCTCCTTAGCTTGGCCTCAGATCCTCTGCAGGAGCATGGCCTCTCTCAGCCAGGCATAGAAAGAAGGGAACAATGCCAACTCATCACTCTGCTTCATAGATCAGAGTTTTCTGTCCCCTTCTACCTGGACAGGTGTGACAGACTTGGCCTCCTCACCAAGGCCCCACTGGCTTCAGTGCGCTATCGTAAACACGTGTGACAGCACTCTACCCTTCTACAAAGAAGCACACATCTTCCCTTCCTCCTTTCATGAAGCAAGATCTTGCTCCGTAAATGCCTGCACAGCAGCCGCTGTGAGCCTGGCAGGCCCACCATGCTGGGAGCAGCAGAAAGCACCGAAGTGATGGCTCTGTGGGATCCAGAGGAGGGGGCCCAGGAGCCATAGAGCTCAGAGGTGTTGGTATGTTAGATTTGGACTATTCAGAGAAGAAAGGAAATGGGAAAAGGGGTTTGGGGCAGTGGGTTTCTGGGGTGGGGAACAACAGGCTAAGGCAGTATGTGGAAAGGTCAGTGGGGAAATGCCCGATGGCTTAGTCACACAGGAGAAGGCTGTGGCAGTGTTGGGCAGCAGAGGTCAGGAGACAGACATCTTGAATGTGTGTGGTGGAAGATGAGGAGTCCCAGGGGCTGGGAGCCATCGCTTCTGACTGACCGTTGGTTCAGTCACCATTAAAAGACATTGTCCTGACTCCCATGTTGGGCCGTGCCATCGCTGAAAAAGAGCACAGAGGACCCCTTGTGAGCTTACTGAGTGTGCCAGTGACAGCTGTGAACAGGACAAAGGGTGTTGGACACTTAGTCTCTGCTTCCTGCCCTACCTTACTTCCTGGTCTTTACTTCTCACCCTGTGTGGCCTCCTGGTCTTTCTTTACTTCCTGGCCTGCTTTGCTTACTGGCTTTACTACCTGTTCCTTCCTCCCCCAACTCCCCCGCTTTACTTCCCACCCTGCACCATTTCCTGCCTTGCCTAACTTCCACTTCCAATTTGGCTTTCTTCATCAGCTTCAGTTCTCAATTCTCTGCCGGCTCCGGTACAGTTGACCCCAGTGACTGCTTTAAAAGCAGTTGGTTTAGTGATGCTGGCTTTACAATGGCTTTACACCTTCCTAGACACCAGCCTTGCAGCCTGTGGAATAGTCCAGGGTACCCCCACCTCCACCCCGCTGCCCTCCAGGCTGAGGCCAAGGCCTAGCACCAGGGACCTGAGTGTTTCAGACTACACTGCCCTGTCCTCTTACCCAGCTGTGCCTCCTGTACCCTGAAGTGCAGTTCCCCTGTATCGGCTCACAGTCTGGTGCATTGACTTCTCTGTTCATTATAACCCTACAACCAAAGCCAAAAGCAAGTCACAGATGAGCAGAAAGCGAGAGTCAAGATGAAGACAGATGCTAAGCCAGGCAGGAAGGAGCCTCTGGCTATGACATCAGGTCTCGTGGTCCTGCCCAAAGATGGTACCTATGTCACTACCATCCTTTCCCACTAGAAAGTCATCTGAGCCCCACATGGTATCCTGTGGGGTCTCTTTTAGAACATAACTTTTTTAAAACTTTATTTTGTATGTATGAGTGTTTTACCTGCTTGTATGTCTGTGACACACGTGCATGCCGTGCTTGAAGAGGTCAGAAGAGCCTCACGGCCAGTAGAATTGGAGTTACTGACAGCCTTTATGTAGGCGCTGGGAATAGAACCTGGGTCCTCTGGAAGAGCAGCCAGTGCTCTTACTGTGAAGGGTGGATCTCTCCAGTTCAGGCATAGACATTATTTTTGAAGGTCATGTGTGATATGAGCAAAGCCTCGGTCACATCTCCCAGGCTGAGTAGCTGTCATACCCTGGTTTTCCAGAGGCTGTGATTGGTGCTGGCAAAATGGTTTGCTTTGAATGTCTTTTGCCAGATATAAGCTCTTGGATGGGATACTCTCCCTGGCACACCCATGTGGCTCACTCCCGCACTAGTCTGGGGCCTTGGTTTTAAGACTTCCTGCTCAGAGAAGCCTAGCATGGCCTGTGCCTTTATAGACAACCCCACTCCTGCACCCCGTACACACACACACACACACACACACACACACACACACACACCATTCTCCATTTCTTCATAGGGCTGTCCCAGCTCTCCACGCCCGAGTCACTTAGGTACTGTCTGCTCCGACCAGCAGGTGGCAGCATTGCTCACGATGCCCTCTGTACTATAGGGCATGGTGATAAAATGATTAAGGCTCAGAAGAGACGCCCCTATCTCCATACCTGCTCGGATCCTTGCAGTTAAATACTATAGCTGCATTAATGCAATGAATGACTCGACTCCTTCGTTCAAGTGTGGGCAAGTCCGGGAAAAACCAGCGAAGTGAGCTCTGTCCAGAAGAGGTGTGCGTTAAAGGGATTTTTTTCCCACTGTGATAATATACATGGAAAACAGCTGAGAAAGGGTTTATTTTGGCTCCCAGTTTCTGAGGTCTGGCAAGAGTGGCCTGGCTCCATCGTTTTTGGAACAGAGGTAACCAGAGAGTGTGACAGAGGCAGTTTACCTTATGACAGTCAGGATGCAGAGAGACAGGGAAAAGGACCAGGGACAAAATAACTCTACAGAGACATCCCACTCCTCACCGCCATTCCCTACCCTCATTCCCCACTCTCCACCCCTACCCCACTCCCTACCCCCACTCCCATCCCCCACGGGACTTTGTGCTAGCTGGTTTTTTGATTTTGTTTGTTTTTTGTTAACTTGACACAAGCTAGAATCATCTGAGAGGATGGAAACCTAATGGAGAAAATGTCTCCCTAAGATGAACCTGTGTGTGAGTCTGTGACTCCTTTTCTTGACTGGTGATTGTTGCGGGAGAGCTCCGCCCACTGTGGGCGGAGCCACCTCCGAGCAGGTGGTCCTGGGTTCTATAAGCAAGCAGGCTGAGCAAGCCACCAGGAGCAAGCCAGTAAGCAGCATCCCTCTGCTTCAGCTTACGCCTCCAGGTTCCTGTCTTGAGTTCCTGCCCTGGCTTCGCTTAGTGATGGACTTTGAGCTGTAAATTGAATAAATCCTTTCCTCCTCTCCTTGCTTGTGGCTGTGATGTTTCTCACAGCAATAGAAAAGTAACAGAGAGAGGTCCACTTCCCTCCCAGTAGCCCATGGATAAAGCTAACACTCTTGTGATTCCCTCACGGTTGAGACCAAGCCTTCTACACATGAGACTTTCGGGGGATGCTTCATCTCAGAAGCACAATAAGGTAGGAGGTAAGAGCTACTTGGCCACGGGGAAGAGTGGGGAAGATACAGGAGGCCTGGACTCCACCAGTGGGAAGTTTTTCCAGAGCAGGAGTTGCAGAAAACAGCTCGGGGATTCCTTGAAGAGTCAAGCCAAGCAGTAGGGCAGAGATTAGGAACACTGGCTGTTCTTCCAGAGCACCCAGATTCAGTTCCCAGCACCCACCCTGCGTTCACAGCTGTCTGTAACTCCCGTTCCAGTGGATCCGATTCTGGCCTTCGTGGGCATCAGATATCCATGTGGCATACTCACATATGTGCAGGCAAACAGCCATACACATCAAATAAAAAGGAAAGCTCTTAAGAAGAAGTCAAGCTGCCTTCTAACCCAGAAATTTTACACGTAGGTTGTCCATGAGAACAAAAACATTTATACCAATGGCTCTCAACATGTACGTCATGACAAATAACCTTTTCACAGGCATCCCCTAAGACTTTTGGAAAACATATACATTTACATTACAGTTCATAGCTGTAGCAAAATGACAGTTATGAAGTAGTCACGAAAATAATGTTGTGGTCTGGGGGTCACCACAACATGAGGAACTGCATTAAAGGGTCACAGCGTTGTTAGGAGGGTTGAGAACCACTGATTTCTGAGAGCCATGGCTCCAGTGACATCCCTCGGATAATGAAAAGTAACTGTGACAAACACGGTTGACAGAGATACAATAGACCCCACAGTGAGATGCCTTCCAGCAGTAGGAGGCAGTGGGCCACTGGCTCACGCCACAATGCAGTGGACCTTCAAACCATGACAGAAGCCAGACACAAAGGACAGCTTGATGCCATCTCTTTGGAGACCCTGACAGGTGAGGAAGGAAACAGATCGGAATTCACTTGAGGCCAGAACCTGACTGCAGGAGGTCACGATGTGATCTGGGTTCTGGGGATGGCTCAGTGATTACTGCACCAAACCATCAACTCTGCCCCGAGATGGGTCCATTCTGCGGCAGGCTCGCTGCAACATTACAGTTGCACTTAAAAAATTGGAGTTGTCGCTT